CCAAGAACCCAAAATTCCAAGAACCCAAAATCCCAAGAAACCAAAATCCCAAGAATCCGAAAACCCAAGAACCCAAAGTCCCAAAATTCTGAAAACCCAAAACCCAAAACGTAGAACCCCAGAAAATCCTTCAGAACCTTAAAAACTTGATATTTCATTTTCGAACACAATTTCTTGCAAGTCACTCCTTCATAATTCCAAAAATAAAGTGAAAAGTCATAATCCTCAATATTTGCATAAAACTGAAACCACAGGAAGTCACCTTGGTTGCAGAGAAAGGTGATAGATGAGATCAGAGACATTTCTGAGCATACCGATAATTAATTACGACGGTTAAGAAGAAAAAATATACTATCGCGTTTTATCCTGGTTTCGTAAGTTATTTCGAAACGTAACAGCAAAGGAATGAATTCGGAATTTTTCGATGAATTTCGAAAGTTGCAAGTTTCCTCGATGATGTTTTGAAACGATACGAAAAGAATGCAATTAGAAATTTGCGACAGAATAAATCGCAAAAGGTTTTTTTTTTTTCGTGTCGCTGTTTCGTCATCGGATTGTGTGCTTCGATCGCGGTGCATTAGTAAGGAACAAGTGCGAAATCAATTTTCTGTACGTATGTTATTCGATAACTGTCTGACCCCGTACAGATATTGCTAAAAAGATTGCAAAACGCTCGATGAATATTATCGCAGGTACGTTCAAAATAAGTTAGTGTATCGAGTACAGTTTGCGTACGAATTGTCAATAATATTTTGAGAATGGAAATAGCTTGTTGCATAAATCATTCTAAAAATACATGTAAGTTCATTGTTTTTTTATGAAGTTTCAAACTTCGATAAACTTCCGAAGTACACACATTATAATTACAAATTAAAAAATTTGTTAACGTCGAAAATTAGTAATTTTATTGGAAGATATAGATTTTAAATTGAGTATGATGAACCATTGCATTTGGAAAGAAATTTTTTAAGAGAAATTTGATGTACCGTCATCCTTTGCCCAGTGAACTTTCGCATCGTTAAAATGAGATTCGGCATCGATCAAAGGAAAGAAGATAGTGTAGTTCTGAAAGTATCAGGGAAGGTCAGTCGACATCTGAAATGTCACCGAAACCTGTACGCATGTCGTACACTCTCGAGTGCTATCGAGTTACCGTTTCTAATGATTTACAACTACACGCTCGAACGTGTGTGTGTCCACGTGTCTTAATTACACGCGACGTTCGCTCGTTTTCTAATGATTCGACGATCGCCACGAAACCGATCCATTCGATCGGATATATTAACGTGTCACTTAACGTCTGGCTGCATATAAATTATTATTATGCCAGTCAATATGGGACGACGTATAAATCATTCGTGAATTGATCCGCGAAACAGCCTGGTTCGTAAAACGAATTACATTTCGTGACACTTGATAGGATATTAACTATAAGGTGCGTCTGTTATACTCGCGTATCTTATTAAACATTTTCAATCATTTTTACCTACATCATCTTTTTCTCTCGGTTTTTTAACGAGTCAGAAAGTAAGCTTTAACGCGCTGATTGCCCCGGTAGTCGTACGTGGTATGCGATAATATGAATTACGTACACGTTCATTATCCTGGTGAAAATTGACTTGTTTAGCAACGTGGATTCGGACTATGATTAGGCGGAAAGTAATAGTATTATTCAACCTATTCAAGGTTAGAGAAAATCACGATGGAAATTTACTTCCAAATCTCTGTATTCACAACTGTGTAAATTCGTAATTACTCCAAATACAAATTGCTGTACAAATGTTCACAAAATCTATGTTCTCCAGCTTACTGCGTCCCTAGGTCTCCATATTGTCCCATTTCCATGTTCTCTACTATATTTCTGAATATATATATCCCCTTTTTATATTCCTACATTTATTAATTGATTATAAAAACGTTTTAATAATATATGATTGATGTGGCAGTCGGTGAAGAAAACTGGACGGGTCATCATCGCCCATGAAGCGCCACAGACCAATGGATTTGGAGCAGAGATAGCTGCAACAATTCAGGTAAATATTTTTCCAAATCCAACTAGTCCCATCTAATACTTGTATCACAATTTAACCATATTAACCTCTGAGATATCAACGTGTCTTTTTTAATATACCATAATTACAATTTGTTACCTAATCTTCTGTGCGATTCTAATCGCAAGTATTTTGAGATGTAATCACATATAATTTCAATGTTTATATAAATGATAATAATTTATGAAATTAAGATCGTTAAAATAATTGCCCGAGAACAACTTACTCTGTCGATATTTCAGCGAAATATCAATAATTATCGATGCCGTTAACTCGAATTCAAAAGCGTTTCGATTGGTCGCGATAATTACAGGCGTTTCGCAAGAGGTTTGTCGTATCGAGCGACAAACAGGCTCGCGATCGTATTATTAGTCGAATATCTGGATTACAAGCGAGCGAACCGAGCTATCCGCTCGCTGATTTAGCGCTAGGATTAAAGTTTTGCAAGGCGTAAGTTTGTAGAAGCGGGCATGCTGAAGCGTATCGAACCGTCACGAAGTGTACGGCTGACGTAACAGAAACACGCGTAATGATATCCTGCCACATTCCAACGATGCATTGAACATGCATCTAATACATTTCGGCTATGGAGCGGGAGTGCACGCGCCGCGAATAAATAATTTCGTAATTAGAATCGCTTCGAATCTCGTTCGATCGAACTTCACTTTTCTATCGCTTCAAGCTCCGCTAAATTTTCACTGTAATTTCGTTACGAGTCGAAGGTTTTCGATACATGGCACAATTGCTGTCTACGTTCAAATTTCAAAATTATGAAAAGGAACAAATTTGTAATCTTATGACGCACTCGTGACGCACTCTTGACACACTTATGACGCACTGGTGACGCACTCATGACGAAGTCGTGACGCATTTGTGACACACACGTGATGCACTCTGAACGCACTCTTGACGCACTCACGACGCACTCATAATGCACTCACGACGCACTCTTGATGCACTCTTGACGCATTCGTGACACACTCGTGATGCAATCATAACGCACTCGTGACGCACTCATGACGCAGTCTTGACGCATTCGTGACGCACACGTGATGCACTCTTGACGCACTCGTGATGTAGACATGACGCACTCTTGACGCACTCGTGACGCACTCACGACGCCCTCGTGAGTGACGCACTCATGACGCAGCCTTGACGCATTCGTGACGCACACGTGATGCACTCTTGACGCACTCGTGATGTAGACATGACGCACTCTTGACGCACTCGTGATGCACTCACGACGCCCTCGTCATGCATTCGTGATGCACTTGTGACGCACTCATGACGTACTGGTGACGCACTCATGACGTACTGGTGACGCACTCATGACGCAGCCTTGACGCATTCGTGACGCACACGTGATGCACTCTTGACGCACTCGTGATGTAGACATGACGCACTCTTGACGCACTCGTGACGCACTCACGACGCCCTCGTGACGCACTCTTGACGCACTCTTGACCGACTCGTGACGCACTCATGACGCACTCGCAGTTCAAACATGACAAACTTTTCCTATATTTTTTGCAAGCTCGAATTTTCAAACTAAGTCTAATTACATGCGTGTTCAAAGCTCATTAGTTGAATACAAAATACGTGACACTGTAACTTTGTTTATTCATTTGAAAATTGTAGCGGTAATTAGCTCTGACGCACTTGCCGAACAAATTAATATTTTTTCTTTCAGACATCGCGTGCAATTTAATAATTAATCAGTATTAATTTTAATACAGAATCTCATTAAAATCGACGAATGTAATTAAAGTCAACAGCACGAAAATGTAATACAACCGAAATGTATAAATAATGATATATGGAATGAAATATATGAATACGTTTGTCGAATAGGAGGAGTGTTTCTTGCATTTGGAAGCTCCGGTACAAAGGATCACCGGCTGGGACAGTCCGTTCCCTCACGTTTTCGAGCCGTTTTATCTGCCCGATAAGTGGAGATGCTTCGCCACTGTCAGAACCGTCCTGAACTACTGAAAAACCGGGGATATTCTACTTAAGAACACGATGCGAGTGAAACCTGTTGCCTGTGCGGACGTTCGCCCTCGAGGACAGATACGATATCGATTTTTCTACGTTCTCGCAGTATCATCGTCGAATTACGTGCTCGACGGCGTATTTTCTGTAAATTCTTATCGATTATTCTCATTCGCCAGACGTTATCGTAATCTCCGCCGAGCGTTCAAATTTGTAACGTAGCGTTTTACTATTTTTACAATTCAACGCGTCGACACGTTGGGCGTATGTTATGAATTTAATTTGCTCGAGTAAGTAAGGAACGACAGTAGCGACACTATTAAGCGAACTTGATAATTTGAAACGGTGATACCAGAATTTCTGTACGTTTTTACCGTTACCAAAGGAAAGTAATCTCTAATTAAATTGAGTACTTTATTGTGTACTACCTTTTCTGATGGCCAAGTAAGAGACATTATTTATATGTTACTTATGATATTCTGCTCTGCAAAGTAATTAATATATTTTTTTAAGCAAACTTTGTGATGCAATATTTCACTTGTGGATTTAATAATCTAAACACCAATTGTTTCAGTTGACAATGAACAAATGGATGAACGCATGAATATCCACTAAAATCTAGTCATCTATTTCTTACACGACACTTTAACAGGGACGGACAAATACCAAGCAACGTTAACACTCTTGCCACCAATTCGAACGGGAATAAAAATAAACCTCGCCGATGTAGCTCGACGAAACGAAGACGAGTTCAATCTTTATAGCAAAGTAACCGTGAAATCTACTAGAAAAACCCCATCGCTATTCATCCCATTACATTCTCATTTAACCCTTGTGTGGGCAAGGTACCCACATATGCATATATTTCCTTTAATGTTATTTTGTAACCACGTGAAAATATAACATCGCTTATATTGTCATGCGTTATATTGCCTCGCGTTATATCACCAGGAGTAGGATTATCACGTGTTATATTGCTACGCATGGAATTACAACGCATTGGAGTTACCAAGCTTGGAATTACTACGCGTGGAATTACTACGCGTCGGAATCACCACGCGTGGAATTACTACGCGTTGAATTACCACGCATGGAATTACTACGCGTTGGAATTACCATGCGTGAAATTAGTACACATTGGAGTCACCACACATGGAATTACTACGCGTGAAATTACTACACGTTGGAGTCACCACGCATGGGAATTACTACGCGTTGGAATCACCATGCGTGGAATTACTACGCGTTGGTATTACCACGCGTGAAATTAGTACGCATTGGAGTCACCACGCATGGAATTACTACGCGTGAAATTTCTACGCGTTCGAGTTCCCACGCGTAGAATTACTACGCGTTAAATTACCACGCGTGGAATTACTACGCGTTCGAGTCACCACGCGTAGAATTACCACGCGTGGATTTACTACGCGTTACCCGAATTACCATGCGTGGAATTACCACGCATGGAATTACTACGCGTTGGAATTACCACGCGTGAAATTACTACGCATTGACACGCGTCGAATTACCACGCGTCGAATTACCACGCGTCGAATCACCACGCGTTGAATTACCACGCCCCGAATTACCATGCGTGGAATTACCACATATGGAATTACTACGCGTTGGAATTACCACGCGTGAAATTACTACGCATTGAAGTCACCACGCATGGGAATTACTACGCGTTGGAATCACCATGCGTGGAATTACTACGCGTTGGAATTACCACGCGTGAAATTAGTACACATTGGAGTCACCACACATGGAATTACTACGCGTGAAATTACTACACGTTGGAGTCACCACGCATGGGAATTACTACGCGTTGGAATCACCATGCGTGGAATTACTACGCGTTGGTATTACCACGCGTGAAATTAGTACGCATTGGAGTCACCACGCATGGAATTACTACGCGTGAAATTACTACGCGTTGGAGTCACTACGCTTGGAATAACTACGCGTTGGAATCACCACGCGTGGAATTACTACGCATTGAATTCCCACGCATGGAATTACTACGCGTTGGAACTACCACGCGTGAAATTACCATGCGTGGAATTACTACGCGCTGAATTACCACACGTGGAATTACTACACGTAGAATTACCACGCGTTATATTACCATCCGTAGGATTACCACGCGTTATATTGCCACGGGTAGAACAATCGCGTGTTATATTACCATGTGAACTATTACCACACGCTATATCGCTATGAGTACAATTACCACGCGTCATATCGTCCCTCGTAAATTTGCCACGTGTTATATCATCCTCCGTTATATTCCCACGTGTTATATCACCTCTTATGAAATATCTATTGCATCGCTTCGCATGAAATTCCTACGCATTATATTTCCATCCCTCAAACTGTCACTCCAGAATCCTATCTACGTATACCTATTTATACGTTTTGATATTAACGTACATATGGTAAATCTTGAGCGAATATTATAATGCCTATCCACCCACGCAAGGACTGAAACGCGGTATCTCCATTTTATCGAGGAAAATTGAAAGGAACCGAATGCTTCGTAGCTTTTATTGTTCTCGTAGCCGAAGCACAGGCATTGTCCCTGACCCAATTCTCGTCGATGGCCAAACGAATAAACGCTTTCCTGTTCAAGCAAACGGCCACTAACGAAAGATGATACAAAATCGCGTCGCGACGGGCAAGTAGTCCCTTTGAATCGATATTCGCAATTAGAACGGACGTGCCTACCGGTTTTTACAGAATATCTGGGTCAAGTCTGTCTTTAGCAGTAAAATCGAGCGGCCGATCGTGTGGACCATGCGTGGCAACGTAATATCTTAATCAAGGCTTCAGTCTCAGGTGTTGCACCGGCCGAGATCGTATCCTTGAAGAAGGCGAGACACCAGGCTTGCCGATAGAACGCACCGATTTTACGACCTCAATCGAAAGATAGGGAGAAATAGAGAGAGAAAGACGGACACAGGAGACGGACGATTATCGACGACGTTAATTTATGCGGAAATAATTCAACCAACTGGTTGAATAATGAATAAATAACGGTTCGGACCGTCCGATGATAAGAGCTCTCGATGACATTTAACGATCGCGTACGATTCATCGTTCTTCCTGACGAGGGGACGCTCATATTTTCGTTTATACATTTCCTTACGAATGGCTATTTTCGACAAACTTATTTATGCGCAAATGCATCTTTCAACCGATTTCGCAAGAACCTTTTAAAATTTTTGCGTGATTTATTAAGGAAACAATTTTTTACACGTGGCTTCAAAGTTAGCCCACACTTCTTTCTATCACCTTTTGTGCAGTTAACAGGTTATTAAAATTGCATTTTCCAAGAAAAAATTGTTGATTGAATTGTTACATTATTACAGTATATCTTGTAAATAGTTGTATATCTGTATTCGATCTGAATAAATTATACGTTGTCCGAATAAATTGTAATATCATAAAAGTTTAATAAACGCAATTTATATACGCAAACAGCAATGCAAAAAATTTCAGGAAAAAGTGATTTGAACTCGCAACATTCTCTTTCTAGTTTGTCGCTAAGAGAAACGATTTCTATACAATCTACTTATTACCAAAGTTATTCCAAATTGGTTAAAAATTGGATCTTAGTACTTGTACTTCAATAACGATATTGTAAGAGCAGTTGAAACGAAGGTTATGGTATAAAATCGAAACCTTCGGGAGCACTCGGAGGACCGAATGATCGATGTCCTGACGAAATTCAGGCAAGAAAAGAATAGAAACGATCGAGGCAGTCGAAGGAAGTGTGTGCCGCTCGGTTGTGTGCGCTCGCACCGTATTTTGTAATTTGAAAGGGAAACCACATTCTTTCACTGTGTATTATGATACGTGAAAGTTGGCAACTGTGCACACCGTCGAAGCACAAGGCGGCAGAAACAGAAAGGCAGAGAAAGAGGGAGAAACGGGAGGAGAGAGAAGGAGAGAGAAAAAGAGAGAAGTAGGAGGAGGAGAGGTAAGGAGCAACGGAGAGAATGGTGAGAAGAGAGAAACAGAAAGAAAGAGCCGAGAGCCAGTCGCCAGTCGAAGGTATAGACTATATCGAAGGTCGACGAGTTGCCTTTTTATTAGCCGATTTTTCGCGGGAATAGAGCAACGGCTCGAGCACGCTAACATATGGGGCCGATGCGTTCGCAGCCGTCAAAAGTTGACGGATCCCCGATCGCGCCAACGAGATCTCGACGATGAATCGATGTCGCCGCGAAAGCGCCGATCGTCGAACAGATCCCGATGATCGGAATCGATCATCGATCCGGTTACGCAATTTCTATTAGGTCGGTGCATATCGAACGGCCGATTTCGAAACGCGAACGGTCTAACGCGATTTGATGACATAAAAGTGGCGCGGAATGGCACTCGCGACGTATCAATTTATACCTTCATCCTCTGTAAAAATAACTGCATCAATGATTTAATATCTTTCTTTATATAAAATGGCTGCTTGCCAGATGCAAACAATGACCGATTTTGAAACTTATGTCTGATGTATATTTGATCAACACGTACTAAATGTCATTGGTCAGTTTAAATAACTGAGCACTTTATTATTCTCGATATAAAATAACTAATTTCTAACAGTCGCTAATATTGAAACTTATAAAATGTAACATAAATCGATGACATAAACGTGTGCCAAAATAACATTTACACTATGTACAACTTTATACTAGTAACACTTTATATTCAAACTTAACGTTTCAAGCAAATGTCCACAAAAATGCGGCACCAATATTTTCAGTATGCGCTGAATTACCACGCGTGGAATTACTACGCATTGGAGTCACCACGCATGGAATTACTACGCGTGGAATTACCACACATGGAATTACTATGCGTTGAATTATCACGCATGGAATTACTACACGTTGGAATTACCACGCGTGAAATTAGTACGCATTGGAGTCACCACGCGTGGAATTACTACGCATTGGAGTCACCACGCATGGAATTACTACACGTGGAATTACCACA